TAAGTTCAGACGGAGAGTAAGATCAGTGGACATGTGCAAGCTGTGAAGGAATCCTAATTATGCCTGCAAGTACATTTCAAACAAAGTTTTTTTTTTCTCTGCAGGCAGTCCATCCAGACTTGCATTTATGGATAAACCAACCAAATATTACTTTGATGTACAGATGAAAACATGCAAATAGGTAGAATTTGTTTCCGGGCACATCATAACTCCAACTATTTGGTTATTCAGTAACAATTGTAATAAAATAACAAATAATTTCATTGCATTTGTAAAAAAAAAAAAAAATTTTTACATTTGGGTTTCTGAAGGACCAGCTTACTACATTAATACTGTAAAATACTTTATTTTAGCTGAAAAGGTTTTTTGGGTGTTTTGTTTGGAATTTATTTTCACGATTTTTGACGAGTTGAGTGTAAAATGTAGGAAAAAAAGTATATTCGCTGGAATCTATTTTCACTGAAGCATCCCTTCAGCGAAATAACTTCCAAGAGGAATTAAAGTATTCTACAGTAGTTGAATTCTTTCAAAATTTTGTATCACCTTTATTGTGATCTTGATATAATTAATAAGAGGCAGGGAATAAAAACAAGACATTTTGCGTTATATAAATTAGTGTGATTTGAACATTTCCATACTACTAGTTGTATACTTTGCATTTCAGCCCTGATCTTACAACAGACATTTTCACTGTCGATAGTTGGATTGTTTTGACAGCAACTGTAACTCCACACTCCTGAATTTAATTAATGCAAATTTGTTGAATCAGTGGAAGGTATCCATGGTGGGTTGAGCCAATCATGGTCAGGACACTTTCTCATGTGTATTCAATTCTGGACACTGCTAGACAGCATCTTCAGTGTCAAATAACAAAACTATCAGTTGTAACAGCACAAAACGGCTAAGTTACTGGTTCAGAAAACACATTTGAGAGTTTCTAGGCTAGAGATAGAATTACAATTCCTGCCTTTCAAAATTGAATTCTAATAATGGTATTGATCAAAACAAGTTTGACTAATGTGTGCATGGAACTCAGCACAGCCTCAGAGGCCATATTCATACAAATTTATATCAAGTATTTTTTATTGTATTTACTTCATTGCATTTCATCATGCATACATTGCCTTTTCTAGAATAAATACATATGCAATTGTTTTCCTCAAACAGATTAGACAATTTATTGAGGAACTTGTTTGAATTTAAAATCCCAGTCACCATAATTTCCTTTACTCGCTGTCTGTGGCGCAGTTTTACTCAAACGTTGATTTTGATTTTCAATAGTGATCACATTCACTCCAGACTTTCTATAATTAATAATACTAAGGATGTATTCAGACTAGTGGCGTACTGAATGAAGGTTTATGTCGCCAAATAAAAACAAGGTAAAGTACGGATCAGAAAACGACTTGAACTTATCTAAAAGAGTGTTGGTACAAGTTGTGTTGATGTACATTTGGGCAAGTTCGAAGTTGTAAACATGATGGGGGATGTGTTAACTTTAGACGGATCATTGTACATTATTTAGGGGTCAACCATACGTAAATTTAGGACATCACACTGATAGTTTATTACTTAACAAAAATCGCCACAATTAAATAATGGATGGTTGGAAAAATAGAGGTGAACTCATTCGGATTTAACAGAGGGTCAACAACATTACCTGACTGCTTCAAAATGGCGGATCAGAGAGAACGTCAATGGGGGCGCTGTTATAAGTGTCGACAATTTAGAGGGCGCCATGGCTATTACCCATGACAACTTGAAAACACCCATACTCGATTTGGTATTTCAAAATAGACCCAACTTATTGGTCCCCTTATATAAAACCAATGTGCATAAAACACAATAGCAGTCTTAAAGATAAATCAAGTAAAACCACTTAAATAAATCACGGTTACAATGTATATCCATGTTGTTTCTTCTGAAATTTTGATAAAATGTTGTCAACAGTTGGTGCCACACCATAAACCCTACAATATGGCAGGTTATATGGACACACACATTTCTTATGTGCATAATGACCAAAAACAAGAATATTTAATAATTTTAAAGATAATTTTTTTTTACAGTGCTTACACAGCACGACGTTTGATTTAGAAATTTATAACACATTTCTTCCTTGTGTTACATTCAAATCAGCAGAAGTTTTCTTTGGCGAGAGAAGACCTTTGGTAACATTCACCAGTTTCTGTGGTTTCCCTCAGTAATGGCTAATGTAACATACATCCCTTCAAATATATTCAAAATACTTGAAACCAATCATTCATTTAAATAGACTATGAATATTGCAAGTAGTGGCATCACTAGTTCTGCAGCGAATATTTATACATTTTGAAACATATCAATTTTTAGATACCAAGAAAAATGTCACAGTGATTCAAAGGTAACACTGACTGTTGTGGAATTCACCCACCAAAGCATTGTGATTAGTCATATCATTTTCAATCGTCATATAAAATTCATAAAAGTTTTATATAAAAACACATTCATGCCTTAAATAGTGCATGAAACTTATTCTTCAGATGCAATTTTTGTTTTGATAGCTAATGAATTTACCTTTCAAACTAGATAGCGCCCTCTCGTGATGCCCCTGGACAGTATCAGGTTTTTGAACAGCAGGTAAGTGGAAGATGTAGGCATCTAGTAATGTGGACAGGTGTTAATGAAATAAAGTTGTTGAAATACAGACTTCCAGCTTACAATATCATCGATGTAGTTAACTAATGACTGAAGGCTTTTTGACTAAAGGTAATTCCATTGGAGCATTACATTAACAATGTGTACTTGGTTAGACAAGCAAGTATTGCTGTTCTGCTTGTCAGAAAATGTACTGACTGGGAGTTCTCACCTCTGACATCAAATTACAAAATTATATCCATGGAATCTACCAGATCATCATATTCTTGCAAATGTTATCTTTTGAATGAACTTGCAACAAAGGGAAATTTATAACATTGTACCGGTAGTTATTAACTTGTCTGTACTATATTTTGCATGGAATACTGGTATATATTTTTTTAAGGATGCACAGGTAAACTGGATATTTTGCCAGATAATTTTGTGACTTTATTATTGAAATTTGGGAAACCAAGCTAATTTTTCAGTTGTGAACTCCATGCCCTCTATTGACAGTGCTTCTGTGACATCAAAAATACAGCATATGGGTTAAAGAAATGTCTTTCAAATTAACAACTGCTCATTTTTTCAGTCGTTCAAATGGAATATAGTAAAAACCTTTCAGAAATGGTTCATTATACTTTTCATTGCTGGCTTACAGATCCAATTGGATATTCAACCTATGTCATCTATTTACTTCATCAGAAGCATTTTGCCACTAGAGAGCGCAACTTATAAGGTGTAAGAAGCCTATTTCTATGGAAACTAGATTAGACACCAATTTTTTAATTACCGTTTACACAGCAAATATATTGCACATGGTAACAATATCAAAAGATTTATATGCTATACTACTTGGCCCTCACCCAATGTGGTATAGAGATGCGAGAAATGGGTCTTGGCAGCAAAAAATGGCCAGCAGTAGGTTGATAAATAAAAATTCATAAGCTATCCAGTAAAGTCTGCAACAATAGTAAACAAGTGCAAGCTGTGAAACAAGTTCAAGCCATTACAGAGGACTATTTTTGGAGATCATGTCTGGGTAGAGAAACTACGCACACAACTTAATTTTCCCTTTTTCAAAATATGATCATTTTATTTCAATTCATTAAAGCCATCTGATGTTGCAATGGTCAATTTGTAGTTAGTTTTCTAGTACTCTTCTCCTTCTTCTTCAGCCTCACCCTCAACTGAATCAACACCAACTTCTTCATAATCTTTCTCCAAAGCAGCAAGATCTTCACGAGCTTCGGAAAACTCTCCTTCTTCCATACCCTCACCAACATACCAATGGACAAAGGCACGTTTGGCATACATCAAATCAAACTTATGATCAAGGCGAGCCCAAGCTTCAGCAATAGCAGTAGTGTTGCTCAACATGCAGACAGCACGTTGTACCTTAGCTAGATCCCCACCTGGTACAACAGTAGGTGGTTGGTAGTTTATACCAACTTTGAAGCCAGTTGGGCACCAATCAACAAACTGGATAGTACGCTTGGTCTTGATGGTAGCAATGGCAGCATTGACATCCTTTGGAACCACATCACCACGATACAGCATACAACAAGCCATGTACTTGCCATGACGAGGATCACACTTCACCATTTGGTTGGCTGGTTCAAAGCAGGCATTAGTAATCTCAGCAACTGACAACTGCTCATGGTATGCCTTCTCAGCAGAGATGACAGGCGCATAAGTTACCAAGGGGAAGTGAATACGAGGATAAGGTACCAAGTTGGTCTGGAACTCTGTCAGATCAACATTCAGGGCACCATCAAAACGAAGGGAAGCAGTAATAGAAGATACGATTTGACCAATCAATCGATTCAGATTGGTATAGGTTGGTCTTTCAATATCCAAGTTACGACGACAGATGTCATAAATAGCCTCATTATCAACCATGAATGCACAGTCAGAATGTTCCAAGGTGGTATGAGTGGTCAGAATTGAGTTGTAGGGCTCAACAACTGCAGTTGACACTTGTGGAGCTGGATAGATTGCAAACTCCAATTTGGACTTCTTACCATAATCAACGGACAGACGTTCCATTAGGAGAGATGCAAATCCAGAACCAGTGCCACCACCAAAGCTATGGAAAATCAAGAATCCCTGCAGACCTGTACACTGATCAGCCTGAAATAGAAATGCAATTTTGCATTAGGAAAATAATAATAAAAGCAAAATAAAAAATAAAAATAAAAACACTCATCTATACATTTTATAAGACCATTTATATTGATATAATAAAACATGAATATCATTTGATATTTTACCAATAAAAAAAATAATAGCAAGTGTTGGCACCTGATGAAATAAAACAAATAATATACTTACCAGCTTACGAATTCTGTCCAACACAAGATCTACAATCTCTTTACCAATGGTATAATGTCCACGGGCATAGTTATTTGCAGCATCCTCTTTGCCAGTAATCAGCTGCTCAGGATGGAAGAGTTGACGATATGTACCAGTACGAACCTCGTCTACAATGAAATTAAAAATAATTTTACTATACATTTTGAAATGAGTACCTTTTACATGAACCAAGAACGTCAAAATATACTACATAAGAATATACTATACATGTACATCAAGAGAGGTAAACACACTTACCAACAACTGTTGGCTCCAGATCTACAAACACGGCACGAGGAACATGTTTTCCAGCACCAGTCTCGCTGAAAAAGGTATTGAACGAGTCATCACCACCTCCAATGGTCTTGTCACTTGGCATTTGGCCATCAGGCTGGATGCCATGCTCCAAGCAATATAGCTCCCAGCAGGCGTTACCAATCTGCACACCAGCCTGGCCAACATGGATGGAAATACATTCACGCTGAAATAAAAAAAAAAAATGAAGCGATTCATACTTTGAACATTAAATGCAATTTGTGTGCTATGAAAAATCTTACCGGCATATTTTTGTGATAGATATAATAGTTCCACAATAATGATCACTTTTGAAAATATAAGCCCAGACCCAGTGAACAGCTTGAACTTTACTGAGTTCAGTGTTCAAATGAATACATTAGGCGTGTGTCAGCTGTTTTAAACATGAAATTTGACACTGTCAAATTTCTGATTGGTAGAAATGACCAGACACTGCTATATAAGGTTGGGGTATTCGGGAAAACCAGTCCCGACTGATTTGTAACTCGACACGAGTTCAGAGCGGCACGACAGAATGGAATGATTAGGAACGACGTGGGTTTATTAAATTGAATTTTCCGTGGCTATTATACACATTAAATTGATGCAATGTGGGTCGATGCGCATTTGAATTAAAATACACGGAAATAATTACTTCATTTTTACGTTTTCTTATTTTTTTTTTTTATTTGTGACACGATGCTTGAATATTGGCGCGAAGCCAGTGTTAATTTAGATATTCGAACTTTAATATTTTTCTGAAAATATACACACGAAATTACACAAATCTATGACAGCTGTTACACTCACATATTGGTCATATATATAAGCTGCATACTCCGACAATATCACAAAGTGAAATAAAACCAGAATGGGGTCAGCAAGGGCATGATCGACGACAAAAGAATTCATATACTCAGCAAAAATTTGTAAACAACATTAAATACGATATTGAAATTAGGGATAAAATAATAAAGTAATACTCTACAAACTGCTAGTAACATCAGGGAAATGTGTCAAATGACCAATAAAAAACGCGCCAAATGTCTAAAATTGTCGTCTGCCCACGACATTTTCAGGGCGAGTTGATAAAAACTGAAAAATAACGGACGTGTATTTACAATCACAGCAAACGCAACATATGCACACTTACCATTTTTGCAAAAACTTATCTAAATCGTACAATAAAGGGAATAGGAGAAAAATCGTCTGAATGCTCTGTGAGATATGTAACGGTTCTCAACAACAGCTCAACTGAATTTACAGAGCTAATGACCTCAGCTTATATAGTGAGTGGTTGCCCAAGGCAACTAGGTCATCGCTGTAGTAACAAACATTACGTCACCTTGATTTTGGGTTATTTGTTATAATTATTATCCACTCACATCACTCCTTTCAAATTTCAAAATATGATTGACAAATCGAACAGAAAGAAAAAGCACGCGACAACTTTCTCTTGGCGCCGACGCCAGCCTGAGGTCACCCTGAAATTAAAAATAAATAACACCCTGAAATTAGTCGCGCGTTCGTTGAACTTTCATGTCGTGTTTCAAGACGGAGATGTGTGCTGAGATCGGGTCGTGGCAATTTTTTTTTCTTCAATCGTGGTCCGACGCGAAATTTTGCGTCAACGTTAGAGATTCTACAAACTCGTTCTTCGAGGAATTATCATATGAAACCTTTCTTAGTAACCGTGTATAAAACAATAAAATTGCCACGACTGGGCCAGTCTAAGAT